CTTCTGCTGCCTGCCGACTGCCTGCAATTTGGCAGTTCGAATCTCACCAGACTCAAGGTTGACTCAGCCTTCCGTCCTTCTGACGTGGGTAAAATGAGGACCCGGATTGTTGTTGGGGGCAATATGCAATATGCTGGCTCTATAAACCGCTTAGAGAGGGCTGAAAGCCCTATGAAGCGGTATATAAGTCTTATTGCTATTGCTAGCATAAACAGCCTTCAGACAGCAGCAGGGTTAGTGCTTCAGCCAAAAAGAGTGGGGGGGGGGCCCTTCTTTAGTAACTTCTGTGACATGGAGATCATTTTGCTAATCCTGGAGGATTTCTGCCTCGTTGCTTTCCAGAACCTTACCGACACCATCGCTCGGGCAGCCACCGATACCTTACAGGTGCCCATGCAGACAGCATTTCGAGAGGCCTTTCAAAGTATAGTTCTACCTGCTTTTGAGAAGAGCTGCCAGTCTATGTTCCAGCAGATCAACGACACCTTCAAGCAAGGCACGCAAGAATGTATGTCGTTTTTCATTGCCCCTCTGTTTCCCAACTGTGTGCTCCCAACCCGGGAAATAGGAGCAATGGTTTATCAAAGCAGGTGAAACGAATGTCAGTTGAACGGCTTTTGGGGTGACAGGGTGTGATCTGACAGTGGAACTTCTGCATTGGGAGGCTGTATGTCCACGGATGGGATTGAAAAATGCCTGGTTGCTGGGTGGGCATGGCCTAATCGGCCTCCAGCACCATGGTGGGGGGAGCGTTTTTGCCCTCCCCAGGCTCCAGAGGCTTTTCCTGAGTCTCCAAGAGGGTGAAAACGACCTCCCCCGGGCTTCCGAGGCCGAAAACAGGATGTCTGGTACTTATGGTGGGCCAGTTTTTTGCCCTCCCCAAGGCTCCCAGAGCCTCTGTGCAGGCACTGTACTTATCTGGCCATGTGGAGACTCCTGGGAGGGTGGGCAGGGCCAGCCGATCCTTGCAACAACCGGTTTGGCAAACCGGATGCCCGAGCCAGTGCGGACCGGCTGGATCCCACCCCCTGCATATGTCTCTCAGTTAATTCTGCTGATGGAAGTATCCAACTGGCCATTATTGAAGATCTTCTCATGATGGGTTCCACAAGGATGGAAATTCTCTTCTTCCATTTGGAATAATTTCCATGAGATTCTTTAGAAAGCTTCACGGGTTTTTTTGGGTTGTTCTTCGGGTTGGCTTTAAACATCAGTTAATCTTGTTGAGCTAGACTCAAAAGCCATGAATTGTTCTTGAACAGGTTTCCAGTGAGATTTTGAATACCGTTTTTTTCAGTGTATAAGACGCACCGGAGTATAAGACACAGCAAGGTTTTGAAGAGGAAATTTTTTTAAAAAAA